AAAAAAAAAAAAAGGAATGAATGAATGTAGATATTTGTTTTTGTAAATTTTGTTTGGTGGGTAAAAATTGACCTTGTTTTCTCCCCCTCTAAAATATGATTAATTTATTAAAAAGGAAAAGTTTTCTCAATTAAAGTAGAACTGAAAATTTAATAGAAATTTGTCCGCAGAGATTAATACATTTCTTTACGAGTTCATAACAATACAAAGAATTTTAAAAATAAAAAATGTGATAGGAATTGGGAAAATAAGAGTATAGTCTTAGAACTATCGAGAAAATAATCAATTTAAAACTGTTTACAAAACATATGCTCGTTGTAATCTTAAAAGTAATAAAATTTTAACAATTACCAAAATAAGTAATTCTAAAAATTAAATTTAACTACCAAACGATCCTTAAGAACTTTTCTTTTACCCCAAATTACCTCTCACCCAAACCAGCCACGACCGGCTAGTCCGGTGACTTAAACCATATGTACACGTTCCTCTCTTTAATTCAGTCGTACTACTCTCTCGACTAGTTGCTTTAGATTCTTCTTCTCTCTAATCGACGATCGCCGATAACTTGATATATTTAAGGTACCACCTTTTTTATTTTTGGTTAATTAACGAAAGTATTTTTGTCAAAATAAATTTGTAAGCTGTATTTAGAAACTATCGAACTTGTTTTTTCAAATTCTTAACATAATATTGGTGGCGTATTTAGGTTTCTAGAATTTTTATCCATTGTTCAGTATATTCTTGGAAAATACTTAGTCTATGATCTAACTTGGTTATAATTTTGTTTGTATTTGTTGTTCTCTGGATATTAATTCGTATTTGAACAGAAGTTCTTTTTATTTTATATATGAATTTATGTTGCATCTCTGACGATTTTTTTGTACGTTGAATTGTTTTCAATATAAAAAAAATTGGAGATATAAGATAATAATTGAAAGATTTTTTAATTGATGAACACTGATTTTAGTTATTTTTATCGAGTGCTTACTTTATTTGTATAAAACGCTGCTCTCCTGTTTTGCTTCTAGTTATTAACCCAACAATATTTATTTTTCTCACTTTTCTAGATTTTTACTCTTTAGCACAGCGTGCTGTTACATAAACACCATTCCTAGATTTCATAAATATAAGCATAATTCTATATTACAAATAAATTTCATGCTTGTAATTTGTTTTGTGTTGTAATTGCCTTGTCAATCTGTAGTGAAATGGCTTTTTTAATGCGAGTATCTGCCGTTGTCTAGGTGCTGGAATCAATGAAGACTGTCAGCAGGGGCAAAGGGTCTGTGAGAAAGGAAACAAAAGAAACACTGAAGCCTGTTGATGATAGGTCGGATTTTTTGAGTTAAACTTTGTGTTACCAATGTATCAGCTATATTATCTGAATTCTCTGTTTTACACTATGTTTTCAACATTAGATGTCGAGTGAGCAAGTTTTGATTATAGCTAATTATAATTTTACCATTCATTGCTGGATATTCCGATTGCAATAACTTTACGGTGCTGGCTTCTTTGCATCTTATTGTTATTAGGAAGTTGGGGAAGAGAAAGGCAGCAGTCAAGGCAGATAAAAAGCCAGCTAAGAAGGGGAAGGCAGCTAAGAAAGACCCGAACAAACCCAAGAGGCCCCCGAGTGCCTTCTTTGTGTTCCTGTACTAAATACTGTTCTCCAGTTTCTGGTCCTTGTGAGTTAACTGTTGAGTTATACTTGTATAGTTTGTAGCTTGGTCTGAGTTATGTCATGTTTTTATTGTAGCGAGGAGTTTAGGAAGACTTTTAAGAAGGAAAATCCTGATATCAAGGCCGTCTCAGCTGTATGTACTCTCTGTAACTTTTTTATATGCCTTATTTATGATTACAGTTTTGGAAATAAAAATGACTTGTTTTGGGTATCTGCATATGAAGGTCGGGAAAGCTGGTGGAGAGAAATGGAAATCCATGAGTGCAGCTGTAAGTTCTTGAAGCCCTTCTATTTCTGTATGCTTTGACTACAGACAATTATTTTAACTGGGTTTGAAGAACTTATTATATGAATTTTGACCTTTAGAGCATGTTTGAATGCCTGTTTCTAGGTGTTTATAACCACCTTGGTCAAAAAAAACTTTTCATCAGAATACTTTTTATCCATACATTTCGTAGGATTCACAAGTATTACTTCCTTTACCACTCATTTATCCCAGTTTATAAACACCCTTGTTTATAAAAGCCTTGCCAGTCAAACCCTAAGCAATCAGCTATTAGTTTGTCAGTTCTTCAGTAAGGGGGAATTAGACTTGTGTTTTTCTGCAGGACTATATATTTATGTTGATACCTTTGTTTGTATGTTATGATTTATATCCCATGTTCTTTCTTGATGGCAGGAAAAAGCTCCATATGAAGCTAAAGCTGCGAAAAAAAAGGCCGAGTATGGAAGTCTTATGAATGCGTACGACAAGAAGCAGGTAAATGCACGATCTAATTATTGCCGGATGCTGATTTCTCTCAGTATATTATGTTATCTTCAGTTCATAGCTTCTTTTTGGTCTTATTGGTGGTATCCCTTATTATCTTGCATTTAATTGGCAGGAAAGCTCTGCTGATGAAGGTGGAGAAGAATCCGAGAGATCAAAATCTGAAGTTCATGATGAAGATGATGAGAGTGGGCAGGTATGGTGTACAGCGTGTAACTTCTTAGCTATATGCTGTATTCTGTTTCATTTGTTGGGAAGAATGGAGGATGATAATATGATGTAGAAATGGCTTAGATGGTAGGAAGATAGCATTTGAACAGGCTCAAAGCCAGCAGAAGCATTCGTTTTTTGATGCAAATGATTTCAGTAACTTTGAAAACTTAATTTATGATAAGACAACTTTAACCTTTACACACGTTTTCAACAAATAGGAAAGTTCGTCCAGAGTTCTCCCTATTAGGTAGTTGTCTGGTTTCCTTGACTTTAGGCTTTTTATCTAACTATGATTGGTGTCAATGTAAGGAGAAATGCTTGCTTTGAAGTTTTTGCCGAAATTCCTGTTATCAGTTATCTAAGCCCCTGTTTGGTTTAGATAAAAATAAGATTTTTAGTAGATTTTGATAAAAATTGATGAAATGCATGGTTGGTTTCCCAAAAATATATGGTTAAAAATTGAATGTTGACTTGATTTAGATTTTAATATACTTTTTAAGCTGAACCAAACAAGGGATAAATTTGGATGGTTGTGTTTGTGCAGGAGGAAGAGGATGATGATGGGGAGGAGGATGAGGATGAGGAAGACGAAGATGACGATGCCGATGACGATTGAGGTTTGAGTTGAACCTGGGTCCTTTTTTGTCTTATCCATGGCATTGACACTTGACATCTATGTATGTACTTTTAGCTCAAGTTCGTTGTCTTAGAAGGATCGGCTGCAGTTTGTACCTTCTGTAATAATACATATGTATTATGTTAACTATCATGCCAAATTACCCAATACTGTGTCGGCTGGTTTGTTTAGAGTTCTTTCACTTCCGAACAAATTTGAAGGGGACGCACACGTGATTCATGAACCATTGATCTGTTAGTCATAGATAGATTCCATGATGCATTTTATCTGCTTATTTGCCTCCGTTTAGCCCTTTTAGAACTCTACAATTTAATTTAATTTTTTTTCTCTTCTGCTTTTAATCACACAGTCTTCAAAAAAATATTATTTCTCCCGTTATAAATTCAAATAATGGGGGCCAAACATACTCAAAGTTGATATTATTCTCAATAATTTAAGCACATCAGAACATATAACATAAATAAGTCCACGCTTACGTCTCTTTGTTTTCCGAGGCTCGAATGCGTCTCAATGCGATTAAAAATTAACAAGAATGAATCAATTATAATTGACGTAACATAAATAAGTACACACTTACAATTGCTAGCACATACAAGAAAAGTGGACAAACTGAACTGATCACATATACAATCAAATGAATCCTATGCACAAAACAGAGTCCAGTTCTTTCAACCCCTCATCGGAAATTAGGGTCGTAAGAAACTATTGTTCGATCTGGAACAATGAGAGGCAATTTCTTGATATACATTAAAAGCCTCTTCAGATTTTCCCGTGCAATTGTCGATAGATCTACAATATCAGAACTGCTAGGATAGATCCAAAGCTCTTCGGGATTTACTCTTTCCAGATTATCCCGACAGAAAGGGCACGACCGAGATCGAGCATGCCTAAAGCAAAGCAACCATAATAACACGATCAATTTAACGTGCTTTGCTGTTAAACTTATAACCAGCAATTTGAGTGAAGATAGAGAAGTTTCAGTTAGTTACCAATCTGTATAACACTTCACACACAATGAATGAGTGCAGCTGGGAAGGACAACCTTGGTATTCATTTCCATACAAATTCCACATTCTTCTTCTCTCTCTATTTCAGTTTCGGATAACTTACCCTTGTCCATCTCATCTCTCCTTCGGTATTTGGAAGCGCAGATTTCTTTCTGTTTCCTATCTTCTATGTCTGTTATTCCTTTTTCAAGTTGCAGTAAAGAAGGGAATATCACACCTGATCAAAATCAGTCGAGGTGGTCCGTGAGAATCCAAATTGCTAAATCCATACACCCCGAACAAAGAAATTATAAGGTTGTGTTTGGTATGCAGTACTAGGACTCAACAATAGAAAGAACAAGAATTTTAACTTCTCACAATACAAGTACACCGTACCAAACTAGACATTTCTACCACAAGGACTAAAATCTATGCTATTATACTAGAGATAGCTTTAACACAAATTGCTATTATATTTGAGAATCCAAATTGCTAAATCCATTCACCCCAAACAAAGAAACTATAAGGTCGTGTTTGGTATGTAGTACTAGGACTTAACGATATAATGAATAAGATTCTTAACTTCTCGTAGTACTCATACGCCTTACCAAACTAGATATTTCCACAAGGACTAAAAATCTATGCTATTATACTTGTGATAGCTTTCACACAATACATTCGACATATATACTCACCATAAAACTCCCTTATATTAGCTTTTCGTTCATGGACAGACATGGTGGTTTTACCATCCTCGTATTCCCTTGGGTATTCAGAAGCCCTGCATCTCAGAAGAATAATATCACAGAACAGAACAATGATAGCAAGGAGTTAAAGCTTCATTTCTACAATTTCAAGTTATCAATTAAGATTTTGAGCCTGCAATTACAATTTACAACATCATATGCAGGTTTCAAAATTTGCAATGAACAAATTAGATTTCCGCATAATTTAATGCCATATGAATAATATGGATCATAACACGAAAACTTATATGGATTATGAAAGCCTAATCCAGAGAGCAATAATAATACGAAGCAAACACATACAAATGGAGACAAAAGGAGATTGAATCGAGAAAACATACAGGGTATTTCCATGGTGAATATCAGCTTCAAGTGCTTTGAGAGAATCTTTAAAAGACTTCCTCATGGGCCAGTACTCTTCTTCCCATTCAATTACTGAATATATTCCTATTTTTACAGTGATCCCACCTCAACAACAAATTATTTATCAATTAAACTTCTAACAAAGCCCTATAAATTCCCAGACGCTATGCGTCTTCCATATACAACAATAAATAAACAAAACCCAGAAAAAAGTGGAAAAAAAAATTCTTCTATTTATTTCATGTACAAAAGAAAATGAAGAAATTAAAGAAAGTGACCTAAACCGACAATGAAGAGTTTTGCTATAAATTCTGTGTAGTTGGATACTTTTGTTGATTGAATAGGATAGGGTAGGTTAGGATGGGTTGCGTGGTGGGATCACACGTCACAGCTACTGCTCACTCGTGAGCTTTCACTTGGAAAACACGGTTCAGTCTCTGCTCTTTTAATAGTTGAGGAAGGAGATTGCCTAGATCTATCTATACTATACGAACTTTGATAAACATGTCCTCAAAGTCCAGATTTAATCCAGATCCACCGTTCGAGGCTTCGAGCTTTAGGTAGATGGATGCCTTTTTTGGACTCTCATGTCGTTTTCAGTTTGAAATATTAATTTGTATTCAATTAAATTGTTACCTTATTGAAAACGTGAGGTGCAAGATATGTCGCTGCGGTCATGCTTTTTTTTACTTCTCAACTTAATTAAAATTTTCACATGTTTAGCCTACGTTTATTTCTCATTTTTTTAAAAAATGAGAATGAAAAATATATCCATTATGGATCTCACGCAAAAGATATAAATTCAAATTTGATGGTTAGATGTGATGGATAACAGTAATATTAACTTGGGCTTAACTTGTTTGAGCCCCCTTTTTTTCTCTCCCAAAAAAGGCATTCTGTAAATAAGAAACAATTTTGAATTTGCGTATAATATTATTTTATTGAAGAATGTGTGATTGAAATAAATTCAAATCACTGTTCAAGAATATATTTTAATGAAAAAACTAAGCTCAAACAAGGGTTGAATTCTTATTTTTATATTTAAATGATAATCATTCTCACCCTTAACATATATACGAAGATTGGTGTGACTTGTTACTCAATATTTTGTTCTTTGCTATAGATGTACGCTAATTAACCTATTGGGTGCACGTAGAAGCAAGAAGAAATATTATAAACAATTACAATCCAATGATCATGATGTCAAGGAAAAAAACAATATCGAAATTAGGACTAGATTGAGAAGATTATTGTATAATGTAATTAATTTATGGATGAAAAGTCAAACTTATTCTGTGAAATGTTATGTTCAAGATTAAGACTTTTTACTGGTAACTTTTCAGCTAAAAGTAGTATATTAATAGGAATAATAATTAAATGAGGTAATTAGCCCTGTTTGAGCACTATTATTCTGAAAATTCATTTTTAACCATATATTCTTCCGTAAAATCAAAAGCTTTTGGTTTATTTTCTAATCAAATATTCTCCAAAAAATCTCTATTTCAAAATATATTATCCCTAAAAAATGGAACTCAAACAAAGATGAGGTATTATGATTCATGTTGATGTCTCTTTGCAGCAAGTGAAGCGCCTATAAGATGGCCATACATGCAAGCATGATACATTGTCTATTCAAATCACGATACTTTTGACCTGGAGCTATTTAAAATATAATAGCTTGATACTTTGTTCTTTTCTCTTACCATCTTGGATGTCGAGGTATCGTTTGAGTGGCTCGAGATCTAAAGCAACGTGATTTAAATGACTAGTTGTACGCATACAAGAACGTACGTTAAAGCTTTCCTCCTTTGGAGCGTACTTATGATTTTCATCTTTTTAAGGTTATACAATTAATTATCTGACAATAATCTTTCAAAGCGTCTACTTTACGCATAAATCAGAATGCTTTTATGAGATGGGGTCTGCATTATCAAAGTAAAATAAAAAGATCAATAATTAATGATTATTGTTACTGATTAGTCTACAATTACGGTAAGTAATGATGATTATGATTTTTTATCGATAAAATAAATGTCTAATTAATAGTTAATTAATTCAATCACAACCAGTGTGCGTACGTGTCTTCCTGTGGAATGAAGGGGGAAAATAATGGCCCCCGGTTTTCAGAAACGACGTCCATATCTGTCGTTTAAATTAACATTTCATTATATTTACGTTTATTTAATTAATATTTTACATATGGTTGGTGATGCCACGAGATTGCACAAAATTAAGGAAATAACTTAACATTTGATCGACACTAATTGCGGTTATCTTGTGCAAAAATGATCAAGGATAAGTAAGTTAAAAATAATAATAATAATAAAATAAAATAAAATAAAATTAATTAACTAACTAATTGATCAACTATTAAAACATAAAATGAATGAAATTAAATTCTTTTTTGCTGGTCCCCGTTTATCAATTATGATACTAGATAAGAATTAGTCGGCATGATGACGACGTCGTAACACATAATTGCTCGAATAATATCATACATAAAAACAAGATATACGGCAGCAGCCGTAAAGAGATTCTGCAACCACTTGCTTGAGAGAATATGAAAGTGCTCATATATTGCAGCCAAATGCGTACGAAATTACTAGTTTTTAAATATGATACAATGAGTGATTAGTATAATAATAAATTCGAGATTTGGATATGAGTGATTACTATAATAATAAATTCGAGATTTGCTTTTTGCTAAGCTCGTGCTACAACACTAGTAATATACTTGTATCTAGAATTCAAGTGCCCCCAACCCGACACCCCCACTCCACACACACAGGGGCGGACCTGGGGGGGTTTTGTAGGAGCAATTGACCCTCTAAATTTTGGGGAAAAAAAATATTTTGCTTGGCTTTTTTTTTTTTTTATTAGAAGATACCCTATAAATTTTATTTTTGACCCCCTAACCAAAGTCGTCTAGGTCCGTCCCTGCACACACACGCCTCATTTTTGGTCCCGCGTTTATTTCTTTATGAGCCAAAGATTTTAAAAGTTTTATACTCACTGTGTAATTTACGGTTACTTTTTTTCCTTTATTCGAATTTGAAGTCAGCTACAGAGTTGTATAGTAAGAGAAGAAGTATTTGAAAATTATTTCCATTAGGTATAGAAAACACAATAAGCTAAGCAGGCAAATATTCAATTTTGAGAAAATTTGCGACCAAAATATGCTGAAACTTGGTTCTTTTTAAGGAGCCTTCATCCTGTCAAACAAAAGAAACCATATTAAGCCCATGTTTGGCTTTGTTAAAAATTATATTTTATTTTGATAAAATTAATGTAATATGGGGTTAAAAAGTTAAGAATTTAGTAAAGTATGTAATTAAAATTAATTTTTGATTTTAATTTAAATTTTTATCTACTTTTTAGTTGAACCAAACAGGGACTAAATCTAGGTTGTTTTGAAGGTAAATTAAGGAAATTATTGCAATCGTTTAACATCGACTTGAGTCAACAAATGTAAAGCCTGCAAGTCCTTTTTTACTCCCTACAGATTGCTTTTAACGGCTTAGATATTGAGGCAATATTAAAGAAGAAAAAATAATAAAGTCCTCACTCAATTTTGATTTGTTCAAAATTACTTATCTTCAAACTCATTTTCAACCCTACACGTAGATCCGTAATTTTCGGGCCCTGTTTGATTCTTATTTTTTTGAAAATGCATTTTTTTCTCTCTCTCTCTCTTCTTTTCCAACAACACAATCTTCATTAAAATAATATTACACGTAAATCAAAAACTTTTTATCTACACATTTTTCATAAATCTACTATTCTAAAATTCATTTTTCCTTAAAAATTGGTGTCAAACACCCTACTAATTTATATCTACATTTTCCAAAAAATTCAAAACCAAACAAGGGTTAGATTTTGTGTTGTTTAATCTTGCCTAGTCAAGTGTAGAAATTTTCGAAAAAATTAATGATGTATGAATTCTACAAGACATCCTCAAAGGACAAACACGAGCTCTATGACTGATGACTCTAACGGAACTGTGCTATTGAGGGGTACAACATTCCCAAGATAGACCCTAATGGCGTGTATGGTAAACTATACTATACCACGGACAAAATATAATTTCTTTTTCTTCTTATATCCACTCCAGTGCTTTACAGTCCACCCAACCTGAAAAGCCATAATGGTCCATTGGAGGTTTAAAACTTCTTCGCTGCCACAATCTTGCATTGTTACTTTGATTCAAATCAGTTTCATGCCGCCTTGCATTCCATGACGACACAGGGAAAAATCCTCGAAATTTGACATTAAATTCAAGAATTCTGTCCATCATATTGTCTCTGCCTTTGCTGAAAGCAACGCAGGGCCTCAAAGAACCCGTCTTCTCCAAAATCAAGCCAGTGTGAATGTGCAAAATACAGTTCAGAGAAGGCAAATTGCCACAGCAAAAAATTACTGACACTGATCCTTATAAGCAGATCAGGGAATGGAAAATGGGTACAATTTGTTTCAAGTTCGCGTTCACTTAAGAACTCGTCGATATAGACACCATCTTTTATTTTAAGAGCAATGTTTTGGCAAGCTTGCACAATATCGTTCTAACCACTATAATTAACTGCCACAATAAGATGAAATCTTGAGATGTTCTACGTTACATCCTGCACATCAGCTATTAATAATACCTGTAAGGACTACGGGAGCCTAATGGAAAAGAATAGTTGAAATTTTGAAGCTTATTAAGTTTGCAGATTCATATCTAATTTTATGCTTAAATTTGTTTGGCTTGTTACTGTAATTGTATATACCCATGGATGAATGTTTTGTCAATTCAAATATCAAGGTTCTGAACTGCTGTTTATTTGTTTCTTATGAAATTGATTTTGTCTTGAGTGGGCACAATAAAAACTTCACACTGTTGATGCGGTCAAAGAACAACCGAAGATAGGAGATCAGGCCTACTGTTTCTCAATTTTCCCCATTTCCTTTAAACCCATTAAATGCTTGTTTGATAGTGATTTTGTTAATTTATTTTTTGATCGTTAGAGATAAAATGGGTTCTATTTATGAGAAAAGAATTCAAAAATAACTGCTGAAATAGTGAAATAACAGTAAAAAAAATTAATTTTAATTGAATTTTAAGTTGTACCAAACATGCTCTAAATCTATAGATGGAAAGCATGTTTAATTACTATTATAAAGTTCGCTCATAATTAAATAAGTAATGTTGGGTTTTGATATCCAATAAATCTTGGACGATGATATTAAAATGACGTTGGATAAATTTATATTGACACATTAGTGATATTTCGATCCGAAAATAACTTGAACTACTAGAAGTAGCTTGATTAAGTTAATGATGCTCGTGGCCCAACACTTTTTTGATGGTCCAAGTTGGACTTGGATTTGTTGTTATGGGCATTTGAGTTTTGGCCAAATTATTATTAAGTTTGCCTTTGGTTTTAAGTAGCCCATGAGGTCTTTTGTGTTGGCCCAAATTGATGAATATTCTCGGCCCAATTACTTATGCTCGGCCCTGGTGTTGGTGCCCAAAATTGAGGCTTTATATCCATCCTCTAGCTGCCGTGTTCTCTGTGTGTGTTTTCAAGGTAGCCAAAAGTGAAGTGCCGCTTTTTCTCTTCTACCAAGTGTAGAAAGTTGTGGATCGAACCTCCTCAATTGGTATTTGTTTGAACAATAAACTGAGCCCAATTTTCAGATTTCTCGAAGATTCCACCAACAATTTTGTGACTTAACGTTTGTAACTCAAAGATTCAAAGTAAAACAGTAAAGAAAACATCAAGAACCACAAGAACACATTGATTTTTCAGTCAAAGGCCTCGAAGGTTTAGCGATCACTTCTAACTCTAATCCCCGTTGAACATTCGTTGGGATTAGGGTTTAGGGTGAACATGTTGAGTCGTGAGTGGGGCTGAACTATAGATTTGGGATTAGGGTTTATGATGAATTTGGGGGGAATTGATTTGGGAGTTCAAATTTGTTTGGTACTGTTTATGACGTTTTCAAATGGTTTTGTATTTTTCTTTTTTTGATTTTTTTTAAGAATGTAAAAATGTGTTTTTAATTATATTTGACACAATGTTTTATGGTGACTTGACGTATTTTTAGCGGAGGTGAGTTGCCATGTCCAATATCTACCTGCCACATCAACGATTAAGGTAATAGATTTTTGAGGATGATGAATGAAGTTCTAATGAAAAAAGTTCAGTGAACACTCCAAAGCAATTTATATGAAAAAAGTTCAGTGAACACTCCAAAGTAATTTAAAATTTAGTGAGCAATTCGTGCCCACGATATAAGTTGAGTGATTTTTGAAACATAGAACCATATTAATTTTAATTAATTTTATAAAATAAATTTAGAACCCCAAAGAAAAAAGAAAGAGAAAATAAGACTATTTAGTATTTATAAGGAAAATTCAATTCAAAAACAAAAGTTGGTTACTATCATATTTGAAAACTTGGTTTAATAATTTGAATGATTATTGAAATTTAAAAAATGTATCTCAATGATCACTGACTATATACCACGTTATTCATCCATCATTCAATTAAAAAATAAAATAAATAAAAATCCTCATTAGGATCAACAAAGGGAGTCGATTTCATAGATGAATAAGTAATACAGTACATATTTCAGTGACAATTGAAATATAATTTGAAGTCTAGTTATTAAGTGGTAACAATTGAGATACAATTTTAAGTTAAGCTATTAAGTAGCAATAATTTGTTCTTTCTTTAAATTGACCTTTGTGAAAGAAGAAACTAGAGAAAATGAAGGGAAACGAAAAATAAAATCAGATGCCTATAAATCGAAGAAAGAACTTTTCAAAATTGGGTATCACAAAATTTCTGCAAAAAAATTGAATTTTGCTTGGTAGGTATCTCGTTTTTCCAAAAAAAAAAAAAAAAAAAAAGGGGGAAAAATAAAAGTGGTTGAGATTTCTGCAAAAGATTATATATATATATATATATATATATATTTTTTTTTTTAAATTTAGAATCAGATTTCTACAAAAACATAGGATTATGTGTTCACTTTGAAACGAAATTGGATTGTGGAGTTGGACAAGAGAGATTTCCAGGAGGGCAACTTAGAAAAATTTTCTTAAAATTAGATGTGTTTTGAAAAATCATATGAAAATTTTTTAGGTAGTAAAAAATACTGTGTAAAATAAAAAAGTGACACAATGTCACTTTTTTTCACAAACTCAAAAAAGTGATAAAATTCAAAAAAAGTGACATGAACACTAAAAAAGTTATACAAACTTAAAAAAAAGTGACACAAACTTAGAAAAAAGTAACAAACACCAAAATAGAACCATCCAGTTGTGCAGCACTAGTAATCATGTTAACAACATAATCAACATATTCAGGACAATTCACGTGAACATAGTGACGGTTCTTCACATAATCGACATATGCATTGTCCACACGCTAATTATGTTAGGAAAATATAACATATTATGTCAAATTTTTTTTTTATCTTCTTAAAAAAGTGACAAATATTAAAAAAAAAATGACAAAAACTTAAAAGGTGACAAAAAACTCAAAAAAGTGACAATCTAAAAAAGTTACACCGTGTCTCTTTTAAAAGTTTAATGCCACTTTTTTATTAAAAAAATAACATACAATCTCACTTTTATTACAAAACGATGTTTGCCACTAAAAATGTGATAAAAATTTCAAGAAGACAACTGAAAAAAAAAAAGCAACGAACACTAAAAAAAGTCAAAATTTCAAAAAAGTGACAAATTTTAAAAAGTGAAACGCACAAAAAAGTGAAACACTAAAAAAAAATGATGAATTTAAAAAAGAGATAGAAATCAATCAAGAAAGTGACAAACATTAAAAAAGTGACAAAAATTCAAAAAAATGATGAAAAATTTAAAAAAGTAACACAACTTCTTTTATATGTTGTCTTTTTGTAATTATATTTTACTTCTATTCACTAATATATTAACTTGGCTTTGGAAGACAAAAATAAAAAAAAAGTGACACGTATTAAAAAATATGACTAATAAAAAAGTGACAAACAATCCAAAAAAAATTCAAAAAAGAGGAAAAAAAATTTAAAAAAAGGGATACAAATTCAAAAAAGTTGACATAAAAAGAGAGACAAATACTTAAAAAGTGACAAAATTTATAAAAAAGTGACCGAAATTTTAGAAAAGTTGGAAACAATACATCAAAAATTACAAAGCTAAATTGCTTAACAAGGATGAACACTAAAAAAGGTAGGAAACAATACATCAAAAATTACAAAACTAAATTGCTTAATGGTACAGTATACAACAGTTTTGAAATGTATATGATGCTAACAGCTTTCAGCCTTAAATAAATTGTTAAAAAGCATGAAGCATAACCAAAAACCTGCTGTCTTTAATTTATAAAATCATATGCAAATTGTAAAAAGGAAAGAGGAAAAAAATGTAGAAATTGTTACAACAACAGTTTGGTAGTCTATCATGCGGACTATCAACAAATACTGGTAAGTCAAGAAACTCTTCCAATGCTTTTGCTACCTAACACGAAAGCTAGTGATGTGAAACTCCAGTTGCTGAGTCACTTGTCCTTCCCTTTGACACTTCCTTCAGTTATTTTGAGGCCATCGTATGCATTAAGAAAGAAAGTGCTTTCGTTCTTTCAGTTTTAGAGCAATTAAACAAAAAATCTACAAAGCATAAACAATATACTCTAAAAATTTTAATCCCATTCAATTGGGGTAACACATCCAATCCAGAACTTCCCTAATCCACTTTGATCACAAAAAGTGTGGCTTCGAAGAAAGGCAAAAGAAAACCCGAAACGTAGAAAAAGAACAAAATAATATATAGACATATTAACAATAAGTACGCATATGTAAAGCGAACCTGATGGCTTTCTCAACGAGTTCTTGGATGTAATTCTCATCGAAACTGCGCGGTTGGCATAGTTGACTTGACGAAGGAGGGAAACACGTTGGTCCTGCTCATGGTCACCACCCGGATGTTTCACTTGAAGGATCTAAACAATTTAGGAGTAGAGATTTGTAAAGCTTTGCTGTAAATGGTTTGAGAGCTTTTTGGAACAGAAGGTTTTGATTCGAGGTTGTGGGTTTTGAACGTATTTAATACTTGATTAAATGTTTAATTAGTTTTAAGAGTACTATTCAAAAATCTCATTTTTGTGGGGGGGGGGGGGGGGGGGGATGTAGGTTTGTCTGAACCAATTTTAATTAATACCAAACATCAATTATCATACACTATAATCTCCATTCACAGATTAAGCTATCCACTAGTCATTCGTCAAATCATAACCCCAAAGAACAAATACCAGTTTACATTAACTCCACCAAATATCTTTTCTTCGATTTATAAGCTTCTATTTCTTTTTTTTTTTTCCCTTCATTTTCTTTGATTTCTTCTTTTACAGATGTCAAAAAAGAAGAAATTGATTCCAATTAATAATTAAAAGGAGTGCTTGGTACACATCATATAAAGCATGGTGTACAACCCCCTCAATATAGGGGGCCATCATTTTTTTATTCATGGTGGGTCTTCTACACATGTGAGGGGGTTGTAGAATCAGCCTAATATTAAATTTGAAATTGTATTTCAATGGTGAATGAACTATACAAATTGTTATTACTTAATAACTAAATTTAAAATGTATTTTAATGGTTATTGAACTATACACAGTATTATTCATCCATTGCTCAAGTTGATATCGCTTGTTGAATTTAA